GTACCAGCAGCTGCAGCACCAGCACTTTCTGCAGCTGGTCGGCAGGTATGGGGACTTCAGGGCTTGGTGTGGGCAGGGCAGTGGTTGTACGTGGTAATACCGTCTGAGCCCAGTATGTCTGTAGCCGCCAGCTCCCGCAGTGTACGACGCTCCGGGAAAAGGCAGCTATGGGGGACCTGACGCCGCCGCAGCAGCAGCAGCTCACTGCGTTCCTGCAGCAGCTCCAGGCTCTCAAAACCCCCAGGTCTGTTGTACTAAGTGTGTGAGTGTGGGGGGGTGTCTGTGTGAGTGTTGGGGTGAGTGTGGGAGGGTTTGTCTGTGTGTGGGAGGGGGTGTGTGTGTGATGGTGTGAGGTAGAGAAGGAGGAGGTCAAGCTACAGGTAATGCAGTGTCCTGAGGGCCAGTTGTTTGCTTCTAAGGGGTGGCGACCAGAACCTGCTCCCGACGATGAGCCGGTCCTTGTCGGTGCCAGATTCGGGCCCCCTCTGGGACTTACATACCTCAGCTTCATCACAGTCAGGTGAGTGGCCAACCTGCCCCATGCCACACCCTGGTCCCCTTTACCCCCCAGTCTCTGCTTGTCACACTTGGTGGCTCTGCCTCCTATCTGCGGGTGGTTCTGCTGGGTCTGGGTCTCTGCAGCTGCCTTTCTTCTGCAGGTGGTGAAGCCAGTCTTTGGGACATACCAATTAACTCTTCGACTCAGGGTCCAATTCTAGAACAACTCCAGCTGCAACATAAAGTAAGTAGCCTGCTGGCCTGGCGCAGGCCAGCTGAAGCAGGCGCAGCCTCCCAGCTAACGAATGTCCTTGTCACTGCAGTTTCAAGAGCGCAGAGAAGTGGAGCTCAGGGCAAAGCGGGAGGAAGAGGAGCGCAAACGCCTTTGCCGTGAGGAAAAGCGCCGCCAGCAGCAGCAGCAGCAGCAGGAGGAGCAAAAGCGGCGGCAGGAAGAGGAAGAGCTCTTCCGGCGCAAGCAGGTACAAGTCCCACCTGTCTCCTGGACCTGGCCTGTGCCTGGTGCCAGACAGCCACCAACATCCACTGTGCCTCACCCAGGTGCGACAGCAGGAACTGCTGCTGAAGCTGCTACAGCAGCAGCAAGCAACAAGTGTCCCTGTGCCCCCTGCGCCAAGCTCCCCTCCCCCACTCTGGGCCGGCCTAGCCAAGCAGGGCCTATCCATGAAGACTCTGCTGGAGCTGCAGATGGAAAGTGAGCGGCAGCTCCACAAGCAGCCTGCACCCCGGGAGCCTCTGAGGGCCCAGGCCCCCAACCACCGAGTGGTAAGCAGCAGCGGCCGGAACCACACCAGTGAAGCTTCCAGGAGCACTCAGGGAGGTGGGGGGGTGGGGGGGTGTCCCTAAGCGTAGACTCTAAAGCTGAAGACCTGGTTCTTTCCATTATTGGAAGGATGTCCTCTCTCTCTAGTCGTTAGCTCATCCCCTTCCCTTAGCCCCCAAAAGAGCCTCCCTGCCTAGGTGTTCAGGGCTCATTTTCGAGCCCCTGACTTCCTGCCATTTGCAGCAGCTTGGGGGCTTGGGCACTGCCCCTCTGAACCAGTGGGTGTCTGAGGCTGGGCCACTGTGGGGCGGGCCAGACAAGAGTGGGGGCAGCAGCAGTGGCAGTCTGGGACTCTGGGAAGACACCGTCAAGAGTGGCGGGAACCTGGCCCGGAACCTGGGCCTAAAGAACAGTCGGAGCAGCCCGTCTCTCAGGTGGGTGAGACCTTTTTAGCTGGGGTCTGCCAGGGAGGGATGGGTGCTAAGCTCCTGGGCTCATCTGTGGCCTCCAATTCCCCACCCTCCTCAGTGACTCATACAGCCACCTGTCAGGTCGACCTGTTCGCAAAAAGACAGAAGAGGAAGAGAAGTTGCTGAAGCTGCTGCAGGGCATCCCTCGGCCCCAGGATGGCTTTACCCAGTGGTGTGAGCAGATGCTACACACCCTGAGCACCACAGGCAGCCTGGATGGTAGGAAGGCAGTCCTTGTGGGTCATGTTTGCACTGGGGACTCTAGACCTGTCCAGCATGTTTGACTGTCCCTCCCCATAGTGCCCATGGCTGTAGCGATCCTCAAGGAGGTGGAGTCCCCCTATGATGTCCATGATTATATCCGTTCCTGCCTGGGGGACACGCTGGAAGCCAAAGAATTTGCCAAACAATTCCTGGAGCGGAGGGCCAAGCAGAAAGCCAGCCAACAGAGGCAGCAGCAGCAGCAGGTAGAGTCTTGTGGGACCTAGGGAGGCAAGGCACCAGGGCTCTCCTGACTCCACTCTTTTGCCTTAGGAGGCCTGGCTGAGTAGCACCTCCCTACAGACAGCCTTTCAGGCCAACCACAGCACCAAACTGGGCCCTGGGGAGGGCAGCAAGGCCAAGAGGAGGGCACTGATGCTTCACTCAGACCCCAGCATCTTGGGTAAGTAGAGGGTGCTGGGGAGCCCTGCTTTCCCTGCACAGGCTGCACAGGACCTAGTGAGCTCACCCTCACTTCTCCCCTGGCTTCAGGGTACTCCCTGCATGGCCCTTCCGGTGAGATCGAGAGCGTGGATGACTACTGACCAGCCTGTCCCATCAGCCCCCGAGCTGGAGGCTTGGGAGGCTAGGGAGGCGGCGGCAGCATGGACCCTTGGGTCTCCAGCCTGCGGGCTCCCAACAAGGAGCAAAGGAGGAAGCAAGTGGGGCATGGTCCCCGGCACTTGTTACAGACCACACGATGCACCTTAACTCACCCACCACGAGGCACTTTACACACGGGGAGGGGCTTTCTTTTTTTCTCTTTCATTTTCAACGTTAGGAGAGACAAAAGTATCATTCAAAAACTAGACTGTAGGCCCCTTCACCCCTTTGGGGATAATGGGTGCGACATTGGAAGGTCCACAGAGGCTTTATTTTGGTTTGGGTTTTTTTTTTGTTTGGGTTTTTTTGTTTTGTTTTGTTTTTTTTGGTTAAGATGAAAAATAATGGGGGGGGGGAACCACACTGTTATTTTGGGGCAGTGGGTACCATGCCCTATGGAACTGCCCTGCCTGGCTCCCCTTAAGGCTGCACTTACCCTGCTGCTGCCCCCCAGAAGGTGGTCATTGGGGTGACTGGAAGATGGGTGCTGGCAGTTTACACAGCGAGGCCCTCTCCAGAAGCGCTGCCCACTGGACCTGCTGTGAACAGCTCCCTGTGGTGGTTACTGTGGCAGGTGTCCTGGTAAGGGGGCCAAAGTCACCCCTTGCCTCAGCTGCTTGGGAGGAAGGTTGCACAAATTGGACAAGCTGTCTTCAGCCCCCTCTCCCTCAACCCCCTAACAGCCCTCCCACACTGGCTGAGGGGAGCTGGGGAATGACCTGTCAGTGCCAGCCTGTCAAAGGTGGGGTCTGAAGTCAGGCCTGCTGAGGGGCTGCCCCCACTGCTGCCATTTTGGGGGACAGCCTGGGTGTGACACTGAAAGCCCAGCTCTCTGCCTTTGCCACATGAATGTATTCTTTGGCCCCCAAGCCCGTCTCACCCCCTTTGAGAAGGGACACAGCCCTTCCTCCAGGAGCTGGAGAACACCACCTCCCTTGATCATGGTGGAGTCCTCACTTGTGTGAGGGAAAGACATCGAAGGGTGGCTTGGGGCTGAACCTGTGATGGTGGGGCCATTGTGCGAAACCCCCCTGATCTGCAGCCAGCTGTGTGGGAAGCAGACCAGCCCTGCACCTGACCCCTCCCTCTATTGACCAAATGGGAGAGGAGCAAGCAGCGCCTCTCCCGATGTGCTTTTCATGTTGGGGCTAAGGCTAGAGGTCAAGAGGGCCTGTGTCCTGGGCTGGGGGCTGCCTTGCCTGTTGCTCACCGACTTCACTCCTAGTCCCCTGCCTGGGCTTGTCTCCATTGTTGGTTGGCCTTTTTTTTTTTTTTTTTTTTTAATATGCTGTTATGTTAGTGAATTCTCCCATTGACCTCATTGCTCAGAATGCAGTATTAGGGCGAGACTGCCACTGCCTCCCTCCATGAATGTATTTCTCTATTCTGCCCTGGGGAAGTGGGGAATGTCCCCAGTTCCTTCTTTCCCATCCATCTCCAGAGAGATGACCTTTGGTTTTCTTGTTTTTGTTTTGTTTTTTGTTATTCGTATTTTTGTTTTGTTTTTTGTGGGTTTTTTTTTCTCTTTTTTTTTTTTTTTTTTGCACCAAAGTGGCAACTGGGTCAGTGTTGGGGATAAGGCTGGCCTCTGGGTGGAAGGGCCCCTCCACCTACTTCTCCCTGGTTTTGACAGTGTTAGTGTCTGTGAAAAGACAATATTCTCTCTAAAGCAATAAGGGGGTGATGGGCCAGGGGGAAATGTCTTGCTGCTGCTGGCCCCCCAACTCCCCTTCCCTCTTGCCATTATGGTGGCATTGGAGGAGTGGGAGAGACTCCTGTTGTGACTGAATGTAGTAACCTACCCTGCCCCTGCCACAGCCAATGCAGGGGAAGGGGGGGTACTTGTCTCTTCCTACCCCTTCCCCCAGCTAAAGAGACTTTGAACTTGGGGGCCCATGAGCCTGGAGAGGCCTTAACCCTGTGAGGAAGTGTAGGGGGAGCCCTCTCCCATCCCATCCCCTCTGAGAGTGGTCAATGTTTACAAGCCCTGAGCCCCTAGCCCAGGGACTCAGATACCCCACCCCCATCTTAATCCTTTCCCCATCCCAAGTCTTACAGGGCCCTAGCTGCTCCACCCACTCTTGCAGTTCAGGGTAGCGTAGGTGTCCTGTGTGCCCCAGTTTACCCCCCCTACCTCTACCCATTGTGACTTCCCTTCTACCTACCCTTGTAAATACTCCCAATAAAACTTGGTGTGTTCTCCCAGTTCACCTTGTCTCCTGGCTTTTTCATGGTATTGCCCTGGGGCAAGGGCAGAGTTGGATAGGGTTATACACCTCTGGGAACCGCTGGCCTCAGCCTTGTACCCTGTCTATAGCTTGGAGGAGCCTCACACCCACTGTCCAGTCTGCTTTATGGAGGAGGGGATAACAATCAAGGAGACTAGGTAGAGTTGGAAGTGGTTCCTTTATGGAAAAACTGAAAATATAATAAAAATTAAAATAAAACCAGTTTAAAAAAGCCAGCCTCTGGGGTTTCCATCTCCTGCCTCTGGCCCTCCAGAGGGGTGAGGCCCCAGCCCCAGGGCAGCAAAGAGTGAGGGCTTTCCTGCCCTTCTTCCCCATTCCATCTCGACTTTTATCTTCACAGGGCACCCTCCCCCCGCCCCCGGGAGGAACCAAACCTGGGTGTAGGAGCAGGACCCATGGCCCTGTAGCCCAGGGAGGGAGGCTTGGCATGTGTACCCAGCCCCAAAGCTCCGGGCCTGTAGTGTGGGCACAGGCAGGGCCGCTCCCTGCCTAGGCCCATCTGGGGTTGGGGTGGTTAGTTCCAGATCTTGAGGAAGGAGTCCCAGGAGCCTGTGGCCACGGCCATCCCATCATCTGTGACCCCAAGGCAGCTCACACGGTTATCATGGCCAGCGAGGACACCTAGAGAAGAGAAGGATATGGGGACTAGTCTGGCCCACCCACACTTTATACCTCTACCCTCTGTGGACCCCAACAGGCCTCACCTGCACGGTCACCCTTCATGGCATCCCAGATGTTGCAGTTGAAGTCATCATAGCCAGCGAGCAGCAGCCGGCCACTGCGCGAGAAGGCAACCGAGGTGATGCCACAGATGATGTTGTCATGGGAATACATGAGCAGCTCCTGATCAGCCCGCAAGTCAAACAGGCGACATGTGGCGTCATCTGATCCCGTGGTGAAGGCATAGCCATTGGGGAAGAACTGCAAGATTTGGGTCGGAGACCATGAAGGTGTAGGCAAGGCAAGGGGCCTGGAGTACAGGGGGCTGCCCACCATGCTCCCAACTTACAGCCACGGCATTGATGTCAGACTCATGACCTATGAATGTCTGTCGGCACATGGAATCTCGAACATCCCATAGCTTGATGGAGGCGTCACAGGCACCCGACACAAAGGTGCGGCCATCAGGGGCCAGTGACAGGGACATCACATCCCCACTGTGTCCAGCAAAACCCACTGTCTGCTGGCCTGTCTCAATGTCCCACAGGGCACTAGAGAGGCGACAGGAAGAAGGATCAGAAATGAGTTGAAGGAATCCCTAGCTCTCCCACCACATGAGCCCAAACCTGACAGAACCCTCTGCAAAGAAAGCCTAGAGCCCCAAGTGGTGTGGGGAAATCACTTGGCCCCCACCCAGGGGGGAAGACTAGATGCTCAGAAATGTGCCACCTGCTAGGCCCCAAATCACCCAAAGGCAGGGAACCCAGCCTGGCAGAGCCTCACCAGGTGGTATCCCCAGAGCTGGTGATGATTTGGTTGTCATCCAGAAAGCGGCAGCATGAAAGGTACCCTTGGGAAAGGAGGGTGTGGTCAGAGATTTCAGGGAGGCCAGTGCACCCCGCCCCCAGCCCCCCACTCTTGCCTTTCCTTCAGGCTCCGCTCACCAGTGTGGCCAGGCAGCTCTCTGCTAACCCTGACATTGCCCTCTCGGGTCTTGAGGCTATAGATGGAGCAGATGTTGTCCAAACCCCCACAGGCTACAAAGTTCCCTGAGGGGGCGTAGGCACAGGTCATGACCCAGGAAGAGCGCAGAGGGATAGCATGGACCTAGACGAGAGCAGCGCCCCTAGTCAGAGCAGGTCAGGGACTGGCAGCCCTCTCCTACCCACTCATGAGGGCCACTTACCTTGTTGGTGGTATAGCTGTCCCAGATGATGAGCTTCCCATCCTGGGAGGCGCTGACCAGCAGCCTGGTAGGCAGGGGAAGGGGGATGCAGACAAGTCAGGGTCCCTATTCCTTCCCATCTAGAGACATTCTTCAGAGACATACCCCCAAATCCTCAGTATAACCCTGCATCCCTGGTCCCCTAGTCTTCCCAAACTTACTGACAAAGGTTCTCCCCACCAAACCTGGGGGGACCTGGGGTCCCCCCACACTCTATGTCACCATTCTGCTCATTATATAAAATCACTCCAGAGCCTAGAGACACTAAAGCAGGGGCCACCCACGCACCTTGAGTCTGTCCCCCAGTGCATGGCATAGATTTTTGCCAGGTGTCCACGAAGGGTCCTCCGTGTTCTCATCTGAATTCTCCCCACTGGGTCCAGCCCAGCTGTGATCTGGAGCAATGGAGATACTGAGATGGCACAAGGCGACCCAAGGAACAAAAACCCATCCAATCCCCCTCCCTTCAAAGCTACATCTCACCTGGGTCAGTGTGGAATCCCCGCATGCTTTTCTGGCGTCCTGTAAGCCGATGGGCAGAGCAGGAGAGGGGAAGAGGGTAGGGGGGAGGAAAGAGTAAAGAAAACAGGAGACAAGGCAGAAGGGAGATGAAACAGAGACATTTGGAGATTAGAATCCCTTCTCCTCTCACCCTGACACACACACACACACACACATTCTGTTCAGGTCAAAGGGAAGCAGCACATTCAAGCCACCCTTCTCCTCTCACCCTGACACACACACATACACACATATATTCTGTTCAGGTCAAAGGGAAGCAGCACACTCAAGCCACGCCTGGCCGGGCTCGGCCTCCCCATCACAGCCGCCAGGCCCTCACCCGGATCTGGTTCCGGAGCTGCTCGGCCTCCTGTCTCAGTTGCTCCAGCTCACTGACGTCAGGCCCCAAGACCGCCCGGGAAGCGGCCGGGAAAGGCGGGGTGGAAGCTTGCGGCCCGGAAGGGGTCAGCTGGACAGGGAGAGCAGAGGACGCGGTGCCCCGGGCAGGACAGGGGTCTCCGGCACCCGAGAGACGTTGCCAAGGAGCAGACGACTTCCCCAATCTTCCTGCTGGGCCCCCGGAAACGGAGTGGGAAGTGCAAGAGGAAGAGAAGGGGAAACCCCTCCCTCGGACAGCAGCCCGGGCGGGCGGGACACTCGGGCGGCAGGAACTGGGGATGGGGGGGTAGTCCCTTCGAAAACAGGCCTGGCGCCCGCCCCAGCCCGCACAAGGCGCCGCCCTCCCAGCACCTAATTTTAAAAAGGGGCGGCGCCTCTTTAAATTCACCCCCACACACCGCACACCCTCCACACACACCCCCAGCTAAGACAGAGGTGGTGATGGGGGGACTGGGGGGAGAAGGTAGGCTTCTGGT